TATTGGTTTTAGGTAAAATTTAGAAGAAAAAAATATCTTATTATTACACTACAAGCATTGTGCTGGTATTATGGACAGGAGGCTAATCTGTATAGTAAGGGTTTGGAATGGTTTGCAGAAAACAGCTGTTGTACATGAGCAGTTCACAAATGCTTGTTCCTGAAATGGAATTCAGATATTTTTGCATATTGGGTAATTTTGCAGTATGGATAAATATTTTCTGTTTTTAGTTACAAATTGTTGCATATGCATAATGTTATAATTGTACTCTGTATCTGTGAACGCTAGTTGTATAAAAAGGCACTCGGATATCAACTGTCTCTACAGATATGCAAAATTTGAATTTACTGATAGCATAAAGTCATAAATTAGCATATTTTATTCTAAGTATATGAAGCAACATTTTGTACATATGCACAAATAAAAACATTAAATATTTTGAAGTTTATCTTGTGAAGCTGATGGATATAATGATTGAAATATCAAACAAATTCATGTTTTTTAATGAAATATCAATTTTGCATTTTCTTTTGGTGGGAGATTATTTTTATAATTGAGTATGAAATCACTTCCCCATAAATACTGGCATAATTCTCTCACTGAACTGTCAAAAATCTGTTTAAACAACTCCCAAATATAATTAAATAAGGCTTTGTTGGGAGTTGTACTCAGCTGAACAGACTAATAACCACTAGGGGCTTCTGTAGCAGAAAAAGACATGCTGTGAAAATTAGTAGCTGAAGTTTTTTATTATTTATTTTTGCTTTTTTTTCTCATGCTGACTCCTGGATTGTCTCTGTCTGCAAGGATCATTTGAAAAATCTAGTTTTAGAATCATTTGAAAAATCTAGATGAATGTCAAAGAACTCATTAGCCAAAATATTGGGACCAAAACAGTAACGCTGAGGACATTAATCTAAATAATTTGCACAATATTAATAATGACTCATTTCAAAATTTCAAACAATATTTGTTAACATTGTACAAGTCAGACTTAATGCAATCAAATGAATAAAACAACTTGATAAAACCAAAAACTGAGGTTAGTCATCTGAATGAATAACTCATAATGGCAACTCATAATGCAATGACACCTGTAAAAATGGCAAAAGTGAAAAAATATGAAAAAAATGAGTTTATTAAAATATATACTATTGGCAAAAAAAGTAGGTTTTGAATGAAATCTAATTAGAAATATATATATATATATATATATATATATATATATATATATATTTATATATAACCTTTTATTTATTTATTAATAGTAGTAAAAAAAAGTAGGATTGGTTTACCTCAATTTGTTAATATAAATTTATGCACTTAAAATTTATGAAAAACAATTATAATAAAATCATATATGTTTAAACATGAGTGCACCATTTCATATTAACCTTTAAAAATCGAAATTTAATAACTAGAATCTTATGTTGTGACCAGGTCATTTTTACCTGTGCCATTATTGTTGACTGACAGTTACAGTACAGGGTGTGCTTGATAAATTTTCATCTAAATTATGCAAAAATGAAAATAACACTGACATCTCATTTTAACAGATATATTTACCAAATTGCACAAAAATATCTTAAAATACTAAAGACTAAATTGATTCAATAAAATCCCCCATCGGCTTCAACCACAGCCTCCAGGCAACTTTGGAATCTTCTGCAACTCTTCTGGATAGTTTCCTTGTTTAAGTTGGTGACTGCTGCCATAATCCTTTCCTTCAGTTCATCTTTGGTGTTACAAGGAGTTTTGTTGTTCTCTTGATTGACTGTCCTCCGCCTATAATAATCAAGGGGGCTACAGTCTGGGGAGATAGGTGACCAGATGTAAGGGGTGAGGTGGTCACAGAAATTGTCTGACAGCTATGACCGGATTTTCCTGCTTGTGTGGTATGGTGCAGAGTCCTGTTACCAGAAATAGGGTCTTCCAGCAGCTACCCTCTTGACCCAGGGCAGCAGTACCTCCTTAAGGCAATTGATGTAAGCCTCTGTGTTGAGTCTGAGGCCCTAATCAACAAATTCAGGTGTTCTTTTCTTATCAAAACAGTCAGAGTAAGTTTTCTGAGTTGCTGTGCTTTCATAATCACCATTAGACTCATCCAACTCTTTCTGAAATCTCTGCACTGTCCTCAGATTGACACCTAAACACCCAAATTTTCATAGCAAAATTAAACATATAAAATGGCAACAATTTACACGTCGCACCTATGTAATTTTTAGATACTTCGAAAGATGGGGTAAATTATTTTTTTTCTTTTAATATAAATTTGACCCTGGAATAGAACATTGGACCTGTTAGAATAGATGCCTGGACAAAATACTGAGAGATGGATGGAGAGTGATAGAATTTTAGGATGTTTTAATTTTGTAAGAATTGAAATAAATTTTCAATAAAAAGATGACTTCTCTCTCTCTCTTTTAATGGGGCAAAACTATAAGTGTTATGAAGCTGACATTCCAGTGTATAAAGACAATATAAAAAACTTTTTGGTTAAGTCATAATTTATTTATTTACCTTATTTAAGGAAATGTTTTTGAGTACAATTTTATTGATTGATCCACAGGATAGGTATGCTAATCCTCATTATATAGTAAGTGCCCTTATTGCAGTCATGAAACAACTCAAAAGTTTTTTGTTTTGTTATAATGATTGAAATCAGTTTTATCATTTGTGTTTATAAAGTGCACAGAATTTTATTGGGAATAATAAAATAAGAAACTTTCTGGCCATATGTAATTTTACAAGGATGTAGTTTTACTATCTTTATCAAAGATGTGTCCTTGATATTTTCTAGAGTCTGTGGATTATACTACTTTGTGGGAAGGGATTTGTCTCTTCTTTAGAGACAAACAAGATGGAGTAGTGTTAAGTGACATTTTAATCCTCTACTGTGTCTGACATCTGAAAAATCTTCAAAAGAACATTTAATCCTTTCCTCTCTTATCTTTGGATAATTGATCCTGCCATCAAAAGAGATTTTCTCAGGATTTAGAACTCAGAAAACATTCTCTGGAATATTCTCAGATGGCTGTTACAGATAAAAGTAATCCTTTCTATTTGGCTGCATTATTTATCATCTAGACATTCGTGCATAGTCGTTTTATGTACATCACTGGAGCACATGGATCAAATTCTGTTATAATATTGGGAATTAAACAGATTCACAATTTATGGTTAAAGAATGTATAATAATAAGATTTGGAATATGAGGCATCAAAGTTTATTTGCATAATAATTGTTCCCTTTTTAAAAATTTAGTTCATAATGGGTCACTTTGTTGTTAGTACATTAAGTATCTGTTAAGAACAGGTCATTTTCTTAAGACAGAAAACCACACTTGTTCTTATAAATAATGTATAAAAAGAAAAATGTTAGCTTATAATTAAAATATTTAACTATTTTTTTCTTTTTCTTTTTTTTTTTTACATTATTTTCATTTTTTGGAATTTATTGTCACATTCACAATGTTTTGGCCATTGTAAGTTCCAATCTTTTTCAGGTGATATTTTTTTGAATTTGAAACTGAACCCTGAATAGTCAGTCTATATGTTGGTGTATCTGAAGATTGGTTCAAAAACGTTTTGTGTAGACATTCTTCCCATGTTTATTTCCTAAAAGTCAGCTCATTATAGGAAATATACATGGGAATAATGTCTACACAAACATCATCAAACCAATCTTCAGAAATGCCAACATACAGATTAACTATTCTGTGTTTGGTTTAAAATTCAAAGAAGGCGGCCAGAGCATACAAAAGCTAAAATGTTGTGAATGTGAGCTAAAGATGACAGTTTGAACAATGTAAATATAATACCTCATCTCAGAAATATAGATAGATGTTTTTTTTTGTTTTTTTTTTAATCTTCTCTGAGTAAATCAAAATGCTTCTAGCTAATGATTTATAAATATCAAATTATCATTGGTACCAGATTGTTTTCTATAAAAAAATCTATCTTTCCATTTTTTTTTTTTTTATTATAACAGTCTTTTGATCAGATTTACTACGTTTTACATGCAGCACAAAGTTGTACTAAATTTAAAGATCACATTATTAATGAGCTGCTTTTATACATAAGACACCTTTTTTTCATATTTACTATATACAATGTGGCTATTTTATTAATAAATTTATAAATACCTTAATATAGTTAATTGAAGAACCACCCTCTTACTATGGAAAAGTATGAATTTAATCGTTAAAAAATGGCCCCAAATTTAATGTTCTATCTCCATAACTTCTTTGCATGATACTAATTTAATTATTTATATTGAAATCAATATCTTTCAGTTTTAGTTAATTCATTTTTTGTTTTTTCAAGATCCATTTCCTTTCCTTAAATACTTTTAGGGTATTCATTGCTTAAAATTTTTGTTTTATGGGTAGCGATTTTCAATTGGTTAATTTAAAGCAGTGGTTCCCAAACTATTTTTCTCTGGGCTGCATTTTCGGAATGAAAATTTGCTTGTGCCTCACCAAATTTTGTGATAAAAAGTACATTTAAAAATAAAAAAAACAGACGGAGGGTTAAAGAGAGATAATTGCAGATTTGAAGTCAGAACATTATCATTGTGAACTCTCTCCTCCAATTTGCAGACCGTAATTACTATATTCTTAATACTTGATACAATGCAAAAATATCACAATGATAAAATTGGTCAATAATTATTTATAACTATTTATACTGGGACTTGTGCATGCAATTACAAGTAATCCATAATAACATTTTAAATTTTGTGAAATTTTATTTATTTTTGGCATATGGATTTTTTGAAATTGTTTGTAAATCTTTGATTGTCTTAAAATCATTCTGCCTCAGCTGCTATCCTCTTCCGCTGCACCTATGAGGTGCGCAGCACCATTTGGAAATCTTTGATTTAAAGTGTATGTGTGTGTATGTTGATGTAAATTTATTTTTGTTTGATGAAAATGTTATGAATTAAGTTAATTTCCAAATTTGTTAAATTTAAACATTTTTCTTTTTCTTTTCTTTCAGAGATGTCTTTGTTTCTACAATTCGACCGCAGCGTAAGCATTTAGTGATTTTAATGGACCATGGCATTTCCCTGAGTTTAAGTCAATTGCTAACTGCCAAAGCCGTCGCGAAGCATTTGCTGGAATCACTATCTGAAAACGATTATGTTAGTATCTCATTTTTGTCTTTGATGCTATTTTTTTTATTCTTTCACTTATTGTATTTTCATGTGTCTGAGCTACACCATCTTTTTTTATTACCAAAATTCATTAAAAAAGAAGACAATAGATAAAGAAATAGAAATGGGGTGAGTGAAGAAATAGGATGCATGACTATCAGAGCCATTATAGTCATCATGACTGAAGCACACACATTTTTCCCACTGACTTCCATTGATAATAAAGAACCAAATATATATTAATCATATAAATTATTCATTGTTTTATATTTAAATATGCTATATTTGCTTCATTTTTCAATGAGAATTCTATGAATAATAACGATAAAAAAAAAAAAAAAAACTGTAATGAAAGACAAGTACTTTAGGGTGTCATCGCTTTGAATAACTTTTCATATAGAAATAATTACCAGAGAATATTGTTTTGAATCATGCCAGACATTTGAATGCTTTACTCTGTGCATCCAGTTTGTAATTTAATGAAAAAACATTTTGTACCAATATTTTATTGACAATCTGGAAAGTAAGTTTTTCAATATAATTACTGTAATCTTGTATGTTCCTTTTATCAGAAAGTCTTATGGCTACATCACATTGAAACACTGGTACCTGTACAATCACCAAAATTAAGCAACAAAAAGTGTGGTCAGTACCTAGTTGGGTTACCACTTGGGAATACCAGGTGCTGTAAGCTTGGATGTGCAGGTTTTGTCTTGGAATTGTTAATTGGAGAGCTGAGTTCCTATTCCTTTTTGTTATATTCACTCATGCGCAAATACCCTTGGGAAAGGTATGAATCTACCACTTCTCCCTTCAGCTATGGATTAATTAGTGAAACGTGTATCACAAAACCATTATTATCTAAAAAAAAAAAAAAAAAAAAATCTTACATTCTGAAATATTTTCTGGCTTTGAAGTGTTCAGCTGCAGAAAATGAATCAATTTTATCAAAAAAATATCTTTTCATTTTTTATCTCTGATGACTAATGATTAAAATTTAATAGAAAATCTCTCTCTCTCTCTCTCTCTCTCTCTATATATATATATATATATATATATATATATATATAATTTGCTTATTAGCAGTATCAAACTATATTTTAATAATACAGCAATTAAAAACTAATTGAATCTATCTTATTGCGTGTTTTGAACTGTTTTATGGAACTGCCAGGTAAAATTTAAAAACATCAAAGATCCAAACAGAAAAAAGTAGTCCGAGAATTCTTTTGTGTAAATTATGTTAGTTTATTGGAAATATGATTTCCAAGGACTGGCATTAAGGATTTTACCAATATTTAGTAAATTTATTAATATTACTTAATACAACATAAAAAAAAAAGAAGAAGCTATATGTTACCTCTCCTTTAGTCAGTGGGAATATTTTCCATAAAGCAATTGTTCTATAAATACCAATTTTTAATAATGGCAACTTATGCAATCAACTTTCAATTATTTTGTACCTGAGAACACAAGATATTTTTAATTGCATATTTTATTTATTTATTTATTATTTTTTTTTTTTACCTGTGAACACATGAAAATATCTTTAACTGCATATTTTTTCTTTTTTTTTCTAACCTAGGAACAATAATATATCTTTAGTTACTTTTTTGCTGCCATATAATTGTTGCTGTTGGATATTTTTTAGAAAGATTAACTTTGATGGCATGTAGAAAATTGGCTACTTGCATCTTCAAAATGAAACTTTTTAAACTCACCTGCTTCAATAATATTTCTGATAAAAGTTATTGTAAAGAATCTAGTGTCGACAGATTTAACATACTGTTTGGAATATATATCAAATAATAATAGCAGTTGTGTGAATGCATTTTAACTTTAAAAAAATATTTCTTTCCAGAATTCATTTTTTTGCAAATCTCTATTAAGATGCCTTGTTCTTTCAAGTGATCATAATTTTTCTGCAGCTTCCTTTTCTTTTTAATATCTGTGAATTGCCTTGACATTTTGGCAAAGATAGTGGAATGGGTTCCCATTGCTTTCTCCATGGTTTTGAATTCAGAGTTGTCCATTTCCTAGACTGGGCACCATACAAGGCTAGAGAGCCCAGTCTACTTTGCTATTTAATCCATAACTGGGAAGAGAAGGGATGGATTTATGACTTTCCCAAGGATATTTATGCAAAAATGAATGCAATGTCTAAACAGGAATTTAAACTTTGCTCACTTTTCGCACATTTACTCTACACAAAAATAACTGAAATACTAAAATTATAATAACTAAAATTTTACAATTGAGATGTAATATCTGTTACTTGAAGTTTTGAGATTAAGTATTTTCATTATTCCACACATTTCTAAAAGCTTCATTCTTCATGTTCTGACATGTTCTGCTTTTCTCATGTACTTTTGTTATAGCTGGAGGTTTTTAGAAGCTGCTTTTTACTTTTCTTTTTTATCGTCTCAATAAGAATATCTCAGTCAAACAACTCTTCAGAATTTGCATAAACCTTGAGATCATACAATACTAAGTAATTTCCTTTTGATGAAACTGAAGACTTTATTCTGCCTTCTTGCTCAGTTGTGTTTCTGGTAATACAAACTTGAAAAATAATTTCTTTTTACTATTGTGTAGATTTCTGAGATGAAGGGTGTTTCTTGATCTGTATATTGTTCAAACTAGTATCTGTGACAATAGCTGAGCAGATTAAAGCATTGGTTTGTGAATTTGGTGGCAGAGTAATTGTGAGGTCAATCCCTGTACCAGGTAGTACAGACTTAAACTCTGTGAAAATAGAGTGATTAAAAACTGAGTAGTACTAAATAAGAACATGATATCCCTAGGCAGGGACAACAGAACAAGAACAATCTATCCCTGTAGATTAAATAAAGGGTTCAGGTCAAGATTTCCTGAAGGTTACTCAGAGCAACTGATACCTGAAAGTGTCTGGAGGGCACAACAGTCAAAATGTTGTTGTAATATCAACAAACTTGAGGATCAAATGTAAATAATGTATGTAATAGTATCTTTATCTATATTGCTTTTGCCACAATACTTCTGCTGATGTTTTATCTGATGGTTTTTAGTATTTTTTTTCCTTTTCCATCTTCCTGACATGAACTTCATAATAAACAAGTTTATGGAGCCTGTGGTCCAAGGTTCATAAAACAATTTTTAGGCAAGATGGAATTATGAAACTTTGTTGATTCTGTAAAGTTGCAGTTAGGGATGCAAGTGAGCATGGTTTTTCTGTAGCTTCCTTTTCCTTTTAATCTCTGTGAATTGCCATGATTTCTTGGTAAAGATAGTGGAGTGGATTTTCATGGCTTTCTCCATGGTTTTGAGTTGTTTAGTATTCTGATTATATCTAGATTAGTATAAAGGAAATGCACTAAATCATTCTAAAGTGCCATCACTTCTGAGGAAGACAAGAAAACATATACTGACTGAAAAGGTGCAATCAAAAACAACAAAAACAAAATTCTTCTTTTATGTGTCATGCCTTGTACAGGACCAGAAAAGCATATAATCAAATAGAATATCTACTTCTTTTATGCACAGTGACCCTGGGTGATCATGTTTCTTCACAACTTCCTATCCTTTGTAGCTCTAAGTAATGTTTATCCCCTTGCTATCCCTCCCAGTCCCTGTTCTGCCATCCACTTACACAAGCTCCTTAGGGAGGTTACTCCCTATTTCCCTCATGCTTTCAGTATGATCTGTGAGTATCAAATTCTCCAATCCTTCTTTCCTCATCATTTGTCAAAGAAATTTCAACTGTCTCTTTATGATTATAGTTCTAAAAATGTGTGGAATAGCTGATGGGATTTGGAATATTTTTCCTCATAAATATAATCAGTCTGCTAATGTGACTCAAAAAAAAATTGGCTTGGCTATGTTTTTCTTTTTGTAATCTTCATTTTGTAGTATGTGTATTCACTAACAAAATTTTCAGTGGTAGTTTCGGCTCCAAATTATTTGTTCTAAGTCCAAACCATATTTAAGATGATCTTAAATTCAGATTTTGTATTTGTTCATCAGCCAATGTTTTAATATTTGCTTTCTTCTGATATCTTTTCAATAAAAATCAGACAGTTCATTTGTCCTCATACAAAGTTGATACATCAAATTATTAAGTTGGAATGCTGCCAGGGTTGACCTAGCCTTTCATTGATTGATCAATGAATTTAAACCTCTTTTAAACTGTCTTGCCAGTAGCAACAGGAAAATAATGAAGATTTGTGTCTCTTCTGAACTTCCTGTTATGAATGACATGAAAGGTTAAATAAAAGAATCACTTTGCTTCAAAATAAATAACTTAAATCAGTAAATAATTTTCTACTTCTTCTCTCAACATTGTTTGCTTAACATTATAAAAATGTATACAATTCACATGATTGTCTGCTTGTGAACAGAAAACATTGTATCTATTTTTAGCTGTTGTTAGCCATAACATCAATAGTTTGTGTTTTGTTTTTGCTTTTTTATTTTTTTATTTATCAGCCTTGTCAAGCCTGAGAATATTGAAGCTTAGAGTAGCTACAGTTTCAAAAATGTTGCACATTTACACAAAACATTAGTGAAAATATTTAAAATACTAAACATTTACAAGTATTTTTATCAAGCTCCTTTAAGTTCACTTTGAATAAATCTAAAATGTGTTGTGTGAAGTATCATTATTTGTAAAAGTTATTTAGCTATGACATGAAAAATGCTGGCATGTGTGGAATAGATAGTTTGGTAATTATATTTAGTATATATTAATTAAATGTATTTTTCAATTATTGCTGTATTTTATTCTTTCATGGAGTGGATCTTTTCACCTCATAACTTCATAAACAGGTTCAGTCTGTCATTATCATAACCAAGATACTGCCACTTGGTGTCACCAGTGCAAGGAAATAATAGTTATCCCCCTTGAACCGGTGACATTAAATTTAAGTATTGCAGATAAAAAATATACTTGTTATATTATCTATTCTGTAGTATAAAACAGATTATGGCTATATATTTATCTGGCCTCCCCT